GTTTTTTGGGCGAAGCCCTTAATGGGGGGGGGTTACAGTGGGGGGGGGGGGGCGTAGCGCGAGCGGAAGGGTGTAATGGCCGGCGTCGGATTTCCATCTGGGTTGTTGCATGGTTTTTTTTTGGTTTCCCCCCAAGGCGGCCCAAGAGCGCTCCAAGAGAGTCCAAGACCGCCCAAGACGGCCCAAGAGGCCTCCAAGAGGCCCCTAAAAGGCGCCCAAGGGGCGTCCTAAGAGGGCCCCAAGAGGCCAACATCATTGATTTGCCAGAGGGAAACGTATACTTTTAGCATATACGGAAAGAGCGGCTTTCACGGCGCTGACGACGGCCCAAGAGGACCCCACGACCGCCCCAACACGGCCCAAGAGGCCACCCAGAGGCCCCCAAAACGGCCCAAGAGGGCCCCTAGACAGCCCAAGAGGCGCCCAAGACGGCCCAAGAGGGCCCCAAGAGGGGGACCAGGCACCGAAAAGTTTAGTCTCTCGCCCCAAGACGCTCCTAGAAGGCCCCAAGAGCCCCCCAAGAAGCCCCAAAAGGCCCCCAAGAGGCGTCTCAAGAGGCCACCAGGAGGCCAAACATATTGATTTTCTATGAGAACAAATACATTGTACGTACATCAGGCGTTTCGGCTTTCACGGCGTTCGAGACGGTCTAAGAGGCCCCGAAGACCGCCCCAAGACGGCCCAAGGCTCTCCCAAGAGGCCCCCAAAACGGCCCAAGAAGGCCCCAAGACGGCCCAAGAGGCGCCCAAGACGGCCCAAGAGGCGCCCAAGACGGCCCCAAGAGGGGGACCACGAACCGAAAAGTTTAGCCTTTCGTCCCAAGAAGCTCCCAGGCCAGGAGGCCCCCAGAGCCCCCCAAGAAGCCCCAAGAGGCTCCCAAGAGGCTCCCCATAGGCCTCCAGAAGGGCCCGACCAGGGCCGCAATAGGACTCCCAAGAAGGCCGAGAGACGCCAAATAAACAGCGATCGGTCATGCAAAAAGCTCTTCACACCAAGGCTCCCAAGAGCGAACGGTGACGTAAACAAGCTGATAAGACCAAGGCTCCCAGCAGAGAGCGGTGACGCAACAAGTTCCTGACACCAAGACCCAGCCAAGGCTCAGGAACGGGTGGCAACGCAACAATCTCTGAACAGCAAGGCTCCAAAGAGCGAGGGGTGACGTAACAAGCTCTCAACGCCAAGGCTCCCGGTACGAACGGTGGTGTGCGTAATTTTGGCTCATGTTTCTGAAGCGTTTTTTCCGTTTCTGTGCGGGGCTAGGTCTATTGGCTTTCGAAACGTACCGCAACACTGTCTTTGGGGTCGTGGACGAAAGGTCTCTTAGAGGCTTCTTGGGATCTCCTGGGGAGTCTATCTGTGGGCCACATTGAGAGGGCTCCTGGTGCCTCTTGGAGGCCTTTTCGTGGCTTCTCAGGGCCTTGGGCCACTATGGGGCTCTTGGCGGGATGTCAGGGATCTTGGCGGTAATATTTTTGGAAGAGGTTCCCAAGGCCCATTATCCTTCCCCTCTTGGGACGCTTTCGGGGGCCTCTTGGGCAGTATTGGAGCCCTCCTGGGCTGTGTTGGGAACCTCTTGGGCCTTTTTGCCGTCCTCCTGGGGTTTCCTTAGATCGTCTTGGAGCGATGGAAGCCTGAACACGTGAAACTGCGAAAATCCGTTCAAATGTAGATGAATCAGTTTGGCCTCTAGGGGAACCTCTTGGGAGTCCTCTTGGGTTATGTGGGCGTCTGGGGGAACTCTTGGGGCGTCGGCGGTGCATCTTGGGCATTCGGGGCGCCATTGAGTGGACTGGAGTCCGTTTGGACCGTCCTGCGGGGAACTCTTGAGACCCTTTCAGACCGTTTGGGCCCTCACCGGAGTTGTTGTTGGAAGAGTCCCACGGGAAGCGCCGCAAAGCACGCGACCGGCCCAGAGAAAAGCGAGAATTGTGCGTCGGGGCTCCCGCGAAGGTGTTTTCAGCACTCGAGCGTTCGGTGCAGAGGAATCTCAGGCACCCGACGACACCCCGTGGAGTACCCACGGCACGGGGGCGGATTTATCTGTTGACCATATCATCCAGCCTGGGCGTCAGGCAAAAAGATCTTCAGCGAAAGCTTCGCCGAAGAATCAAGGGCATAACAAACGCCCCTACCCTGGTTTACGAGGCGCTGTGCGCTGAAACTCCCTATGGGCTGACAGGGTAAACCCTGCGTGATGTGCCGCGTCCTGGCGGCTCTAGGCTTTGGGGTTTCCCAGGAGGTTCACGGACCGCGCACTTGTAACCCAGGGTAGGGCCGCTTCTTCACCCCTCAAAAGACGGCGCGACTGCCCCTCCTCCTCTTGGGGTGGGGCCCCGCGGCGCGGCGCGGCCCCACGACCCTGGCGCGCCCTGCTTCCTCTCTGTCATGCTCCTCCTCCTCCGGATCCCGATCCAGCCCTCCACCCTCCTCCCCCCCCCATGCTGCCCCCCCCCCCCCCCGCCGCCCGCCTCGCATCCCTCTCCCCCTCGCCCCCTTCCGCCCTGCATCTCTACATCTCACGACCCCCCCCCCCTTCCGCGCTCTCCCTGGCCCCCTCCCCCCCCTCTTCCCAAGGGGGCGAAAGGCAGGCTGCGAGAGGCAGTGCACCGCATGACCAGGCAAAACAGGGCAAGGCTCAGTTTGGCCAGGCCAGGCACGCCTATGCAAGACAGCGCACGGCAAAGCAAAGCACGGCGAGCTGTATGATGCGCGATAAGATGCGGCCGGGTCGAGCAGGGGAATGCGCTCCAAGACAAAGGGAGGCGTGGCAAGTCACGGCACGAGCAGTTGTCATGCAGCGCAGGGACAGGCACAGAGGTAATGCAACGCATGTCTTGGCAAGAAGAGCTCATGAAGAGCAGAGCAGGGCAAACACGGCAAGGGAAAGGCAGGCACGCCTTAGCATGCTAGGCTTGCGCAGTGAAGGGAGGCGTGCATGCCCTCCGCGAGGTTGCACCTTCGTCCGTAGACATTCGGGATCAGGGTTTTGACTTCCAGGCCATGATGACGCCCTTCCTTTCGGTCAATGTGTTGATGATGCGCTTGCACTTGCTAGTGCTGATTGTACGTAATTCCCTAGTGGCCGTCCGCCCCAATCGTGCCCACCCTTGAGGGACTGGTGTGCCGATCCTGGGGAAAGCCACAAATGTGACAATACACGCGGTGAACATTCCGAAAACTGCGGTGACAAAACGCGGTGGACATTCCGAAAACATGACCAGCGATAGGAGCTTGCAAGAATGCTTCCGCCGCATGTCCTGGTGATGAGTGTTGGCGAATCCTGCTACCAGGACGTTTGGGAGAAACTCAAGCGGCTGAGTCTCGATGAGCATTTGAGGTAAGTCTTGGTGGCCACAGTGCGCTCCCCCACGATTCCCCACGTGCAGTCCCAGGCGCCGCCAGGCGGAAGAAATGGAGGCCAGAAAGTGGGAGATTTGTACGTCCCGGACAGTTTGCAGACCCGCGCTTTCGTGGAAGGCTCTGCTGGCGCTGTGTGTGTGAGTTCTACAACTAGCTGGGTAGGCCAATGGGGATATCCACACAGCCTCGCTGTCTTCCAGGCCTTGCTGGTGATAGTTCGTCATCGTTTGCGGTTGCCTGCGGAAAAATGCAGACCCGCGCTTTCAGTTGTGCTTGCCGTTCCGGTCGGCCTCACATCCAGTCTCGACGTTCGGTATTCAGAGGTGTTGTGGAGAGGCACGGGGCCTACAGGCACAGGATCTACAACACTTGAAGCAGCTTTGGGCAATCTCAAGGACATGTTCACGGTGAGGCGGGCCGAGAGCAGGTGGAATGTGGCTGATGGCTGGGAGGGCACTACGTACGTAAACGCTCTGCACTGCAAGCACCTTGTGGCAAGCACGGGGGCTGGCGGATCAAAGACGCCCACGGCGAATCACCGCCGCTTTTTGCGTTTTGGCATCGTCCATGTGGCCGAGCGTTGTGGCAAGAGCTCTGCCAAGCCATCGCACCATGTCTTCCCCCCAAACGTTGTGGAAACCTTTCGGGGAACAATTTGGGGAGGATGGCGGGGAGGATAAGGATGAGGAGGGTGCGGAGGAGACGGAGGAGGAGGAGGAGGAGGAGGAGGAGGAGGAGGAGGAAGAGGAGAAGGAGGAGGGGGCCTCTCGGGGCCATCTTTTTTTGGCGGTCTTACAGCGTTCCTGGCCCGCCTGATGCCATCGGAAGCAGTCTTAGGGGGACCTCTGAGCCAACGTGGGGCCGTCTTGGAGGCCATATTTGGCGTTTGGGAGGCCCCTTGGGCCAGGACACAAGTGCGAACATCCATCAAGCATCTCAGGACATCGATGATTGTGGCCTCTTCGGGCCTTCCTGGAGGACCTCTTGGAGGCCTCTTGGCATGTCTTGGAGGCCTCTTGGGGAAGTCTTTGGCCGTCTTCCGTCATCTTGAGGCCATCTTGGGCCATCGTGGAGGCTTCCTGGGCAACCTTGGAGGCATCTTGGACGTTATTGGGCCGTCGTGGAGGCCATCTTGGATTATCTTTGGGCGAACTTGAAGGCCATCTTGGCCGTCTTGGCGGCCATCTTGGGCCATCCTTGGGCCCTCTTGAGGCCGTCTCGGGGACCTCCTCGGCCGTGATGGGGCCATCATGGATGTGTCACAAGGGCCATCCGGAGGCGATCTCGGGGACCTCTGAGGCCGTCTTGGACCGCCCGCAGGCCGAAGCGAAGTAATGCCAGGTTCCTTCAACGGCCTTGGGGGAAGCATGGATTTTCGACTCTTCGGCCGGCCTGGGAGACCTCTAGGAGGCCTGTTGGCCCGTCAGAAGGCGTGCGGCGCGCACGACAGAAGGCGTGCGGCGCGCACCTTTTTAATGCCCACTTCCATATGTCCCCTCCCTCTCTCTCACTCCGTCTGACGCGCGGCCAGGAACGTTTGCTTAGCGTGTTGCGCCGCTGCCGCTGGGTCTAGCCCACCACGTTTCGGCGCGACGCCGCGACACGTTAAGCAAACATGTCCGACCGCATCTTCCCGCCAGGACGTCCCCAACGCTGGAGCGGTGCCCATCTCCGACGCCGCGGGCGCGACAGCGAGGCGCTTCACCGCCGAGTGCCGCACCCTCGAGGACCGCCCGGGGATTCCACGGCAGTGCCGCCACCCCGTTGCTCCTTCTGGCCCTCCGCTGGTCCCTCCCTCTGCGGTCTCTTGTTCGGGCCTCCTGGAGCCTCTTGCGGCCTCCACGAACATCCTCGCAACTTCGAGCTCAGACGTACTCTCCTTCGGCCTCCTGGAGCCTCTTGCGGCCTCCTGGTCGGGCCTCCTGAGGCCTCCACGGACATCCTCGCAGCCTCGATCCCAGAAGACCACTCCTGGGGCCTCCTGGAATATTTTCCGGCATTCTGGTCGGCCCTCCTGAGGCTTCCTGGGGGCCCGTGGTACACACATCGCAAGGTGTGGCAACCCCGCTTGCGCTCGAGTGCGATCCCGCTATTGCACTTCACTCGCAAGGTGGTCAAGGCCACTGTCGGCTGAGACTTCCTCGCAACTCTAAACCTCGGAGGTGTCCTGCCCCATGGAGGTCCGGCCAATTTCCCCATCCTCGCGACTCTGAGTTCCTAGATGCCCTGAACTAAGATGGTTCAGCCACTTCCGCCTGAGACATCCTCGCAACTCTGGATTCCGAGAGGCCCTGTCCGTGGTGGTCTGGCCATTTTCGCCTGCGACACCCTCGCAACTCTGGGTTCCGAGATGCTCTGAACTGAGGTGTTCAGGCCACTTCATCCTGAAACGTCCTCGCAACTCTGGGTTCCGAGATGCCCTGAGCTGAGGTGGTCAGGCCGTTTTCGCCTGAGACATCCTCGCAACGCCGACCTCGGAGAGACATTGCCCTCGTCGGTCCTCCTGCTCGATCCCCAATCCTTTGGGGGGGCTCTTCCTCGATCTTAGATTATTATGCGTTCACCTCCTGCCTCTTCCCCTTCTCTTAGGCCCGCCCTGGCGGCGCCAGCTTCCCCTTCTCCATATCCGATCCCGCCGTCATGGTGTCTTCCTGCTCCAAACGACCTTTCAGTTTTTTGTAGGAGCCTGGGCACACACGTGCCACTTGTATACGTATATATATATATACGTATATATATATATATATATGTTGATATATATATATATATATATATATATACATACCGATAGGACCACCCTACGGGTGAGAAGGAGGTTTAGGAGGGGGAAGGAGGAGGCGGTCGACTTGCGATGGCTCTGCGTTCCTTGGCAGTTTCTTCAACTGTCCTTGTCGCGCACATCTGCCCATCGGGGCAACCATCGGGACAACCATCGGGACAACCGTCGGGACAACCATCGGGACAACAATCTCGACAACCACCAGGACAACCAACGGGACAACCATCGGGACAACCATCGGGACAACCATCGGGACAACCATCGGGACAACCAATAGGATTATCGGGACAACCATCGGGACAACCATCGGGACAACCGTCGGGACAACCATCTGGACAACCGTCGGGACAACCATCCGTCGGGACAACCATCGGGACAACCATCGGGACAACCATCTGGACAACCATCGGGGCAACCATCGGGACAACCATCGGGACAACCATCGGGACATCCAGCCCATGGGACAACTATCGGGACAACCGTCGGTACAACCATCTTGACAACCACCAGGACAACCATCGGGACAACCATCGGGACACCCTCCTCCCGCAAGTCTTTCTGGCGAAGGAAGAGGAGGAGGAAGATGAGGAGGAGGGGGAGGAAAGGAAGAGGAGGAAAGGATGAGGAAGAAGAGGAGGATAATGAGGAGGAACGGAGAGAGAGAGCGAGGCAAAGAGAAAACACAACGATAGTTTCACACATGGTGCTTTGGGGGGCTGATCATACATGTACATGTATATGTATCTTTATCTGTGCATATGTACGTTCATTTATTCCGATAGGACCACCCTGCGGGTGATAAGGAGGTTGGGGGGCAGGGGGAACGGTCGAAGTGCGATGTACCTGCCGCCACCGAAGCGGGCGCGGGCAAATACATACCACCTGCTCCCGCTTGCATCTATCTAAATACTATGTATATATATATATATATATATATATTCCCATGTTTCTATCGACCTATCAGTCTATCTATATATCTGTCTATCGAGTCGACACATCAATCAGTCGACCTATCTATTCCTCTTTCTATATTTTTATAAGCCCGGGCGGGGGGAAAACCCGTCACCCCCCCCAAAAAAAAACCGGACTCCCGGGACTTGGGGCTTTGGGGCCCTCCGGACGGGCCTCGAAGCGGCCACCGGGCCTCGCAAGGCGTTTTGCCAAGCCTTCCCAGCACACCTAGGGTGATCAGGGGGGTCATCGGAGACGTCCCAGAGACCCCCAAGACAGCACAAGAGCGCTCCAAGAGTGACCGACGTGACCTCAAGATGGCCCAAGAGGCCTCCAGGAAGGCCCCAAAGAGGCCTCCAAGAGCACTTCCAAGGAGGCCCCCCGAGGCACAAATAATTGATTTGTCTAAGGGTTTTTGGTGAATTTTGGGGTTTTCCGAAGCCGCCTGGAAGGCTCCCAAATCGCCCCACAACCATCCGAAAGGGCTTCCAGGCAGTCCAAGAGAGCCCCAGAACGGCACAACACGGGTCCAAGATGGCCCTCAGAGAGCCCCATGGCGGCCCAAGATGGCCGAAAGACGCCCTCGGAAGAATTCCAAATCGTGATTCGTTCGTTCAGGGAGACGGCGGTTGGAGGCAGGGTGGCCCGAGGAAGCCCCCAGACGCCCCCAGAATACGCCCAGGAGGCCTCCAGAAGGCCTTAAGAAAGCCTGAAACAACTGTTGTGAGGCCCCTAGAGGCTCTCCAAGGAGGAGCCTCCGCAAAAAAGAGCTGAGGAGGATGGGGAAAATGCGCAGGGCATGGCGAAAAGAAGGAAAAAGAAGCATGGAGGAAGGATAACGAAAAACATGATTATAGCGGCGATGCCAGAAAGGACAACCAGGAGTTATCGCGACATTGTCGGCCTGACCTGCCTGCTTGCTATTTCGCCGGCGTGCCAAACTTCAAGGACCAAGGTGCATGGCGCGAAGCGCCATTGCAGTCTTGTGTGTATATATAGATATATCGATAAGGGGGTCGGAGCACAGATGACATCGATAGACTGGAAGAGGTTGTCGGAAGGATAAGGACGGTTGTCCCGTCGTTGCCTTCTGCCCCTGGCCGTCCTCTGGCACTCCGTTCCCGTCCCCGGGGCCCCCCCGCCCCGCCCCAGGCCCGCGCCCTCCTCGCTCCCAATTTGGGAGCAAAGGGAAGCTACCCTTCCCCTCCCGTGACCGTCCAATTCCCGCCCAGGCCGTTCTGCCCGCCCCATCCCCTGCGTTTCCCCCCTTGCCCCTCCCCCGCGGCCGCCTCAGCTACGTCCATGGAGCACCCTCTCCTGGTGCAGGCCCGCTCCGTTCCCCCCCCCCCCCTCCCTTGCGAGACCGCCCCCGTTCCTCTCCCCCTCCCTCGCCCGCCTCGCCCTCGTCCCCCGCGCCCCCGCCCGGGCTCCCCTCCCTGGGGCTTCGCAGGCTCTCGACGCTCCAGGGCCCCGCCCTGAGTCGCCAAACGTCCCGCGCGGCGCCCCAGGGCCTGCCCGGCGGCCCCGCGCGCGCCGCGGTGAGTTCCCTCTCCTACACCTTAGGCGATGCTTAAGAAAACTTACGTTTTCGGCCAGAGTCTCGATGATTCTTAATGCTTCAATGTACATCCTAAGATTTGAATAGAAATGTTGGGTTTTCCTTCAAATTCTGAGACTCTGAGTTTCTTAACCCATGATTTCTTAAGCATTTCGCAGGGTGTATATTCAGCCGTGTACCCTCTTCATCATACAAGCCACGGTCGGACCCAGGTATCAGATCGAAGTCGGTTCGGGGAGGGTGCCCTGATGTTCTCTGTGCCTGTTGGAGATGTTTGCGCTCACCTTGGAGAGGCTACCCTTGATGTTCTGTGTGGGCTTTGGCCGGCGGAGGGTCTCGTGTTCTTGGAGGATGTGATTCTGCCTTATAGGTCCGGCCGTATCCCTCTCCTCCTCCCCCCTTCTCGCCTTCCCCTGGCTTCATTCGCGACTGTTGCGAAGCTGCACCGTCAGAGTCGGCGCGCGCCTCCGTCTCCGCTCCATTCCTGCCAGAGGACATCCTGACGAGCTCTGGGCTGCGAAGGCCCGCGCGCATCGACTACATGTCCGTGGACGCGGAGGCCGCCGAGGTCGAGATATTCCGCGGCTTCGACTTCGCCCTCTTCTCGGCGGCGAGCGAGGGGGGAAGTGAGAAGGACAAGGTCCTCTCGGGCCTCTCAGAAGGCGGAGGGGGCTTCTCAGAAGCGCTTCGGCCTTCTGGGAGGTCTGCTGTGCCTTCGGGGACGGCTCAGAACACCTTCCGAGCCATCTGAGAAGGCCCGGTCCTTCTGCTTTCCCCCCCGCGGCTCGTCGCCGATCTTCGACATCGGCGTCTTGTCCGTCGAGGTGCAGGTCCGTCCCTAGCGCAGAGCCTCTCGGATTTGGGGGCCTCGTGGGGAGACCACGGCCGGCCCTGCAGCCCCCATGGCGTTGCCCGGGGCCCGCAGGGGTCGGCTCGGTTGGAGAGTGTTGGTCGTATCGATAGCGACGCTGCCATTGATTTCTCGATGTTGGATCGGGGGGCTTTGGTCAGGCTGTCGTGCCTGGTCCAATCACACTGCTGTGCGCGTTCCAAATCAGAACAGCGAGGGCGAAGACTATGTAGGCTCGGTGGCTCTGTGTGGGCTGTGGCCCAAATCGGGGCGAGCATCGGGGAGCGCCGGCTATACGCCAACTCCGATCTCTATCAGACCAGTGTTGGGCCCAGGGTCAGCGCATGCAACTTTCTTACCACAGCAAGAAGGTACATGCACCCTTCCTGGGCCCTGGGTTGGCCTGGCCAGGATCGGGGGATATAATTTATGGATGTGTTCGGGCCCTGGGAGGGCCAACTATACCCATATCCATCGGCTGCCGACGTCTCTGAAAACCGATACCCCAGGCGGTGGTTATGGATAGTCCCCGCCTCGCGCGAACACCTTCGATTGGTTACCCGCCGCCGCGGGAAACGGTTTGACACGCCCGTCGAACACCTCATCAAGAGTTCGCTCCCATCGACGATGTTCTCTGGCCAGAGTTTCTGCACCTGTTGCTGTCGTGAGCACTCAACACGCCTTGGGCACAGGTGCCGAGTACAGATGCCGAGCCCGCCAATTTGGAGCCTGCGCCGAATCCACACCGAATCCCAGCCAAACCCGCGTCGAACCCGCATCGGATGCAAGACAATATCGCCTCTTACAGGGACAGACGAGGACCCCCGCACGGTGCAACACAGTCGTCCCTTTGGGATCTCCTCCCTCGCCCTTCTGTGGGAGATCCAGAGACAGAGAGAGAGAGAGAGAAAGAGAGAGAGAGAGAGTGAGATAGAGCGAGAGAGACTCGGGCTTCCGACGGAGTGCCTTTTCTGTCCGTCTCGATCCCTTCTCCAGGGGCAGCGTTCTGCCCCCGACATGTTTTCGACGCGCCTCTGGTTAATTCAAGCTTCGCGCGGCCCGCTTAGCTTCGACCGGAAGAGGTGCGCTCTCGACCCGCGAGTCAAAAAGGTTCTCGACGCGTCTCCGGGCCCGAGGGCGGCCTCTGGAGAGTCGGGCACGCGCTGAACCGGGTCGGCACAGTCCCGGGTCGGCCGGGGCCCTGTCACAGAGCCTGGCCGGCCGCGGAGCTCGGCTAGACGTAAGAGTGACCTTTCGCCGGAGTGACCTTTGGTGCGGGCACAGGTGGGTGCCCAGATGGCTGAAAGCGAAGCAGGAGCAGCGGCCTGCGCGCCCAGGTTTGGTCCCCACGCGGCCCTCAAAAAGCCGCGCACCAAAGGTCACTCTTACCCAGGGCCACCCTTGCGTGCAGCTGCTGAGTAGCCTAGAAGCCAGGGTCGGCGGAGGGCGGACAAGGGGGGACTCGTCTCTACGCGGCTCCCAAACCCGGGGTCAGCCAGCGGGGATCGGCCGACCCCCGTCAGCTCTGACCCCCGTGGTATGTCGCGCGAGCCCCGACGGAGGGTCAAGCACAGGGTGCGGGATGGAAGAGGCCGGCCGGCCAGCGTCCTGAGCCCTCGCCCTTGTCGGGGAGGGCAGGGGGCGGAAGGCACGCCTCCCAGAAGCCGGGAGAGCCTCCAGGGCCCCCGTGCCTCCTGCGGAGGCTGGCTGCCCCCCTCGCGCCGCCCCTGGGGTGCGCGCCGCCAGACCCAGACATCCGAAGACCTGCGCTTCCCCGGGCGCGGGCCAAGAGGTTTCGACCACGTCCCCTGGCCTGGCATCGCTCGGACGTGTGCATTTGTTTCTCGGCAAGAACCAGTGAGGACCATCCTGGACCATCGACCAAAAAAAAACACGCACGAAACCAACAAATGCACGGGAAATGGACGTCCGAGCGACGGCAAGCTGGCGCCGGATGCCCCGGATTCGTTGTTGTTGGTGGCCTGTGGCCTAAGACAGGCCCCCAAAGGCCTACGGCCAGATGGGAAGGCATCGTGCCGTCGGGCATCTGAGAGAAGGAGAGAGAGGGAGAGAGGGAGAGAACCGCCCGGGGGACGGGCGCGAAGGTCGCGAATTATCCGACCGGCCTACGCCGCCCGCCGCCGCCGCCGCCGCCGTGTGAACCCCCTCCTCCGTGGACCCGTGCGGATCGGGACCGCCCGCTCTGGACGCGCTCGGCTGCCCGCAGAGCGATGGCCGAGGATCCAGGCTCTTGAAAGCCCCTGGAGGCCTCGGAAGCCGCCGAGGATCTCCTGATACCTCCCTGGACTCCGGGCGGAGTGCTCTGTCAGAGGGGGAGCAGCGACCATCGCCACGAGAGCCCATCGGAGGGGGGGGGGGCGACCCTTGGGCGAGGACGCGCCCGCGTGTCGTCCAGTGCTGGGTGACGCTCGGGCGCGCCACCGCCCAGGGTCGGCACCCCCGCGGTCGGTTCTCGATGGCGGTCCTCTCTTTTTCCCCACATGCTTAGTGAGGTTCGTGTTTTCTTCCCTGCCGCGTCGCACCCGCGTCTCCTCCCGCACACACCTCCCTCTTCCCCTCCTCCTCTCCATTCCTCTCCTCACCCACGCGCAACACATGCACGGCACTTACTTGAGACACGCGTGAACATACAGCCGCACGCATGCACACGCTCGCACACACAGACACGCCAAGCGGCGTGTGCTGCGATGTGCTGTGATGTGATTTTATGTGTAGTGTTGTGAGGTGTTGTAGCGTGATGTGATGTGCGGTGTAGTGCTGTGTCGTGCTGTGGTG